TTTACTTGTTGGGGCATCAAGAAACCGGATACAACCCTTTGACTGTCTTTGGCTAGTTTGGAGTTCTGTGGGTTATTAACTGGCAGAATAATGCGAAGAATCGGAAACACAAGAAGAGGTCATTCCTCCCTTTTTCCAGCCTCTGCGTGAGCAGGAGCTGCCTGCAGCTCAGCAGGCCTTTGTGAGCAGCCGTGGGTTTTGTAACACACTTTCCTTGGGACTTGTGGTACAGTGAGGAAAAATACTGCGGCTAAGTCACCTGCCGTGCTCGCTGGGACCACGGAGCTCTCTGGTCTGGGAGGGCTCTGTTTGCTGCCTCTCTGCTCCAGCTGTTAATGGGAAGTGATGGTACTGGGCTGTGACTGCTCTGAGGTGGGGCTCCTTGCTGCTGGAGAAAACCAGCAGCAGGCAATTGATGCAGGGTTGTTGCAAAGTGTCTCCTCCTCCTCCACCCTCCCAAGTGAATAGGAAGAGTGGTTGTTAGAGCAATCAGTCACCAAGAGGTGTGGTTTTTTCTCCTTTCAACCCTCAGACTTACGGCAAGAGCTAGCAGTACGAGAGAGGCAACAAGAAGTCACTCGGAAGTCAGCACCCAGTTCTCCGACTCTAGACTGTGAGAAGATGGATTCAGCTGTCCAAGCGTCTCTCTCCTTGCCAGCTACGCCTGTTGGAAAAGGATCAGAAAATAGTTTTCCTTCCCCAAAAGGTATAGTGCATAGAAACTGTGTCTAGTTGTTTTGACAGTATGTTCAGCTTGTTAACAAACAATTGCAGACCAGATGCTCGTTAGTGGACCTGAAGGCAATGTAGGTACCTGTGGATCCCACAGGTGTTGTGTTTAAATCCTGGGGCAGCATCAGGTGCCTTTAAGGAGTGTAGTGAGTAAAGAGCACAGAGAAGAAGGACAGTGAAGCTTAGATACTGCTTTTGGGGGGCAGGGGTTTGCACTGTGCAGTAGATGCCCGCCGTAGAGTGCTGAAGACGTTTGGGATTGCAGCGACTGGTATTTCTGCTTAAATGTGGAGCAGCAGTGGTGAGTAAATGGTGGGCAGTAATCAAACAGTCGAGGCTGCCTCTGTTACCAAACGTGCTTTTCAGGGGTCCTGTTTTCTCTTGTGAGGCAGCAGGATGTTAGTCCAGTCCCCTTCCCCATCTGGAAGGCTCTGGACAGTCACGGGGATTAACATATTATTTTTCAAATTAGAAAGAGTAGATTCCAGAGGCAGCTCTGGCGGGATTAGATGAATTGCAGGCAATAGCCTTGCAGATGGAGAGTGCGTGAACTCTGCGTGGAGGTCTGATGGGAGAGAGGGCAGTAGACGGGAATTAAGCTTTTATGTTTTTCCATGGCTAGTGGTCATGTAGTCTGTGTGTTATTCTGGGGTAACTGTATGAATGGTCTGTTGTAGGATTTTAGATTTAACTTTTCTGTAGAAGTTGATTTATTTAAATTTTAAAAATGAACAGAGAACCATGGAGGAGTGGAACACGTAATAAAATGTGTCTGTGTTTGCAGCTATACCGAACGGATTTGGTACCAGCCCCCTTACTCCTTCAGCTAGAATATCTGCCCTCAACATTGTGGGAGATCTGCTACGGAAAGTAGGGGTGAGTGCTCTGTATGGAAACATCCCTAGGTCCATGCTGCTGCGGCTGAGCTTTCATCCTTGTCCTCAATTACAGCGAGGCCTTGGCCCATGCTGAGGATGTGCTGGAGTTTCCAGATCATCCATGTTCAGTGTTTAGTATGTGTTAATGTATTTTTTTTTTAATTATCTTGATTTGTAAAGCATGTTATTAGGGTTCTGGTGCCAGCTTCGGGTGATGAAATTCATAGTTGGATTAAAAAGTTTGTCAAGCACTTTGGTATATGAGGTTAGACACCATCAGCCACTTGTTCCTACTTCAGATGGGGCCTGCAGCTTCCTCTCTAATGAGACCGAGGTGCAGAACTGGCCCTCAGAAGGTGGGTGCCTGCTGCACAGTTACCGTGTGTCATGGGAGGGGAGCTGAGATCATGCTGCCAGTGTCTCCTTTTGTGCCTGGGGAGATTTGCAACAGGTGCTGAAAATGGGGAAAACATGCAGAAACCTTTGATAAGAAAGTGAGAAAAATCAGGAGAAAGCCAAATGTTCCCATCTGTAGCTGATGGGGGAAGTGAAATGCGTGAGCCTTTAAAGAGATTACCACTATAAGCGGGGAAGAAGTGCTTTAAACATCTGTTACGGTGTTGCTTAGGACATCAGGCTTTCCAGCTGAGTGAAGACATGACTTTTGAGTTATGAGGAGCTTGTTGACGTGCCTCAGTGGTTAGTGTTTTGAGTGGAAGCATGGGTAGCCTCAGTGTCTAGCCTTCGGTGCTGGCTTTCCTCTCTCTCTTGTGGATAACACTGAGAACGGAAACAGCTGCAGTAGAGACAGTTGTTTTAGCAAACTTTGAAATTAGAAATCTCCTCGTTGCTTGCATTTGGAGCCAGTGAGCTCGTAGTTGGTTTGAAAGGGCAGCAGGACGACTCTGGGTTATGGAGTGACATGTTTAAAATGGGATCATTGTGAGTAAGAGTCTGCAGGGGATTTAGGGAGCTTAATCACAATCCCGTGTGATTACTCTGCAAGGACAGGAAATGCCAAATAAGCATGCTTCTTTCCCAGCCTGCTCTTAGACACACGCTCTGCCACTGGTACAGAATTCCAGCTCGTGCATTTGTTTAGTAACAATTATGGGATGTTCAGGATTTCTTTGGGTTTGGCTACTCATATAGGATGCCTCATCCCAAGCCTTAGATTCCCTTTCTCTGCAAGACGGTTTCCTCTGGCTTTCTTGCTTGCAGCTGAGACAGGGAGTCACTTGGCACAGATCACACTGGCTATTTCCAGCTGATGGGTGCTTTGAGACCAAGAGCTGGGTAGTTATCTGTATCTAGCTGCTATCTGTGTACAGCTTCTAGAAGACTGTGTAATGTTCACTTACTTGTGATAGCGTGTTGGTGACTTATTAACAGAATATTTTTCTACATGGAACAGGACCAAACCCCTTGTTTGAGGAGATGAGTTTTTGTCTCTGGTTGCATGCGTTTACAAGCATCTGAATGCCCCCACGCGCGGGGTGGATGTCACAAAGGGTTGCAAGGACTTTCTGCTAGACCAGATAGATATTTGGGTTAAGCCTCGGGTTGTGGTAGATGGCAGAAAGGGCAGGTGATGTTCTGAAGTAAAAGAGAGAATTAGGGTTTTGGTCTCCCTCCTGCCAGGAGTCAGTGGATGAGGCAGAGACACCTTGTACAGGGGAAAAAGATCTCACCACGTTTGCTTGGAAGTAGTAGAGATGAGGTACAGACCATAGAGACGGGCTTAGCTGCTGCCTTTGATTCCTCCTTCTGATGCTGTGGCTGTAGCACCTCTTGTTCTGAAGCATAGCAGTGGGGTTTAAGAAACTTTGTTTTGCAGGCTAAGGTTAAGAAAGAAATCCTAGAAGGCATTGCCCTGGGGAGAAAATTCAGCTTTCCACATATGCAGTCCCTCCTAAAACTTGAGGATTCTGCTATAGGGTCTGTTTTGGTCTTCTGAGTAGCTTATACTGGTCTTACTGCAGCTGCTGAAGCACGAAGTTTTGGTAACTTGTGCTAGGAGTTGGGTCCCTTATTTTAGCTAATTAGTTGAGATGTTCCAAAATCTGAGCCCTAATGGAACTGAGTCATGCCTGGCAGTCTGCATCAGTATCTTGTTGTGTGTTTCCTTTTGTGGCTGTGTGACAGAAAATTACAGTTCTGTTTTCATTTAGTTCAGTTTTGTCAAAGGTGATCACAGTCGAGTCCTGATCATGGTGATCTTGGGGTCATGACAAAGCCTGAACTCGAGCAGCAAAATACTTTCTCTTAATGGTATTACTTGGTTGACTTTTTTTTCCCCCTCCTTTCACAGGCCTTAGAATCTAAATTAGCTGCTTGCAGAAATTTTGCAAAGGACCAGGCATCACGGAAATCCTACATTTCAGGGAACGTTAACAGCGGCATGACGAACAGCAATGGCACAAAGTACCCTCATCCGGGGCACACCTCCTTCTTTGACAAAGGGTAAGTAAGGATGTATTTTTGCCATAAAGGGGAGGGTGGTTTAGGATGCTACTTGGAGCAGAAGTTTTTCTTGGCTTGTCTTTAGACCACTACAGCTTTCATCCTGTAGGACAAATAGCTTGTGCAGCCACAGTCTTAAGGGGACAGGGAAGGTGACAGTGCTGATTTCTGTAAAGCAAAGAGAAAAGCAAGCGTGATTGTCTCGTAGCTGGTAGGATGTCATTGCCTGTTCTGTCCCTCTGCTGCTTAATCTCTTGGCGGCTGCATCTCAGGTAATACAGAAACCCCAGGCAGCAAACAGGCGAGTGAAGTGAACGTGCCCTTCAAAAGGATCTCAAGGAAGTAGTGGTGGAGTTGCCATAGCTACTGGTGCACTCGTGCATGGGGAAGTACATTAACCGCAAATCTGGAGATTCCCTTGGTGACAACAGCTGAGAGCTGACAGCAAATGCTCACTTGGAGGGTGATGCCCTGTTTGCTCTACTTCCCCCTCTGTTAGGGGAAAAGAAAACATCATTAATGGTGTAATTCTGTCTGGTCAAGGGAGCAGCTGCCTCCATGCTGGCTGTGCTGTGCGTCAGCCATGAAGCCAGAAACTGCTTTCACAGGAAAAACTACCCCATGTGTCTCTGATTGAGCTGTGGCCAGAGCTTCCTCTGGG